TAATCTATATAATGTAGTTAGGTCTTATAAGGTATAATAAAGGCAGAGAAACTGCAGGCAGTGGTCCTGACAGCGTGTGTTTAATGGCAGTGTGATTCGGCGTCTTTACCCCAGCAGTCAGCCTGAGTACAGCTGAGCTCGGGACTGCAGCCGGAGGAGTGAATCCTGCCCACTCCTTACGTGGCTGGGGAGAGCGCAGAGGCGTGGAGCTGCAAGGAGCTGCCGAGCTCTGGAATGTCCAGGCCCTCGCCATCACGCTCACTGGTAGATGGATGGACAGACACTTGTTGCTGTTCTTCGGTTCGGAGAGGGTCAGGCATGACTTCAAAAGCCCAGGCAGGGATCAGATTGCAGGGGCAAGCTTGGAAAGTTGTCTCTATCACTGTGTGACAGCTCAGTTTCAGACCTTCCGTCCAGAGGAAGAGTAGCTGAGATGATGGCTGTGCTCATCAGGCTCCGTAAGTGAGCCTTCAATAGCACCATTAAGGTTTATAAGCGGCAGTTTTCCCAGACGGTGTTAGAAAGGGATCATCCTTCTAGTAGAACAATTAGAAAGTGAGCTCACCTTCATCAGCCCCGTAATAAGCCTTCATGCATCTTCTGAGCACGGCACAAGTTTCACAGTTATAAAAAGTGTGATTGATCTGCTAAACAAATAATCCAGTAGCTTGGGTCTCTTGCCTTTTATTAAGCAAAATTCAGCTTCTAAGAAAAACTGTTTTACTAGTTGTCTGTCATATTTTCAGTAGGAGATGAGAAGATGAGCTTTTTAAGCAAGTAGGTGAAAATTGCATGGTCGTGTACCCTTGCGAGCAGTATTTCTGAAGGTTTATTTCCTTCTTCTGAGTAAAATGTACATCTGTGCAGATGTCTGCTCTACTGGGGAGGCTGAAGTAGCACTGGGCATTTTGCAGAGACCACTCTCCAGAAGACCACTTACTCTTTCCTAACACCTGTCTCATCCTCATTTGCACTGAAGACACTAAATCACAGCGATCAGTTTCTGTTTTCTCTGGAGAAATTAACTGATTTTGATGCCATCCAAACCCTTGCTCAGTATTGCAGTTACATAGGAGAAGTACTTGACAGCAAGGCAGGACTCTGTCTCAGGCCTGATCTGCACAAAAGGGAAGGTGGTACAGTGAGTTATTTGAATTTACATAAATCCTTAGTGGGGTTTACATTAATTGAAACTTTTACATGAATTTAAACCCAGCTTCTTTAACTTACCTTGGTAAGTGTACTAAGGATATTAAAAATGATGTAGCCAATTTTAAACATAAACAGACGAGCCAGTCCAAACCATGCTTGTGTTTGCATTTTTGTTCAGTATAGCTGCTTTGCTATAAGGCTTTTGGCTTAGTATCACTTTTGTATTTTAGTTTAAAAAGTCTGGCACTTGGTAGCATTCAAAGGGCGCTCATTAGGTAGACTTAAAGCTGTCTCATCAGCACATCTCAAAATACAGTCATTAAGACAGGGATGGCAGTGTGGAGGACCATTTCTCGAAGATTTCTTTGGGTAATTGACTCTTCCTTTTATCAGCAGGCATCGTGATGATATAAAATCTTGTATGGTAAAGTTTGCAGTTAGTGCAAAGGTTCCTGGGTGGGTAAACAATAAACAGACCATCTTTTAATTGCAGGGTAATCTGAATCACCTGGCTAAGTGTTTTCAGTCCATCAAAATGTGTTTTAATACAGTGAGATGCAAGCTCGCACAGTGGGGAGCACACGAGCACCAGCTACGCCAGTAGGATGGAAGACTGTCTTGTAAAACCGTATGAGTTCAGAAAAGATGTAGGGGTCAAATAATTGCTTCAACATGAACTACCAGCGCAGTCTGTGCCTAAATTCTTCACTATGAGGGCAGTGAGGCACTGGAACAAGAAAGATGCCCAGAGAAGTTGTGGATAACCCATCCCTGGAAGTGTTCAAGGCCAGGTTGGATGGTTGAGCAACCTGGTCTAGTGGAAGGTGTCCCTGCCCATGGCAGGGGGGTTGGAACTGGATGATTTTTAAGGTCTCTTCCAACCCAAGCCATTCTGTGATGCTATAAAAGGCTGATATGACCTCTGAATGTCTCCAAAGGGAGACTTAGGGAAGGGCTGTTGGCTGTCTTTCCAGCACTGGACAACAGCATTCAGTTCTGATGTCTGCGCTTCTAAGGCTGGTGGAGGGGGAAAATGGAGAGAAAAAACAGGGAATAAAACCACAAAAATCATCCAGGAGCTGAAAAAATAAGGATTATAGTGGGAGGGCTGGGGAGCTAAGCTTACTTAGCGTGTTGTGCTTATGGCAAAACATAAAACACTGAAAGCTGGAATAATGGCGAGGGGGGGAGTAGTGAGGATGTGAAGGTGCAGTCAGTCTTTGCTGGCCTTCTAGGCCAACTGAGGAGTTTTTTAATGCCATCGAGAGACTCGCAACTCACTACATTCTGCGATTAGAGAGAGAGACACCTTAAAAATTGTTCAAACTTCTTTGTTGCTTATTTGAAGAAGCGCTTTTGAAATCCTTGCTTGCATTGGTGACCAGCAGAGAATGTTACTTCTGGAAGGCAGATCTGTGTTTCATCACTGTGAGCCCAGGAACTCCTTGGTCAAGTCCTGTTTCACAGATCCTCATTTGCAAAACACTGTACAAGTTCAGTGTAAGAAGAATCAGATTCAGAGACTGTTTGTCAGGTAGTAGGTTAATAATCAAAGATTTATGGGTTCAACTGGAACAGCAGACGAGTCCTAAACAGCAGCCAGGTTCAAAAATGACTCATCTCCTATGTCTGGGAAATGTAAGTGAGACTGTTTTTCCACAACTACTTTTTCTCATTAACACCATTAAGAATGACGTGATGGCAGCACAGGAAAATAAGCTGCATGTTCACGTGTTTGACTGAGGTCTTCTGGGCATGTGTTCTTCTAGATGCAAGGGGTCCATGCACCACAGTAAAATTGTCCACAGGGGCAAGTGTTCACTCATGTGGACCCAATTAGAGGACTGAGTCCTGTAGACTTTTACTGTAGCAGAAGAGTTAGGTTGTGGTCTTCTCAATAGGAGAGCAATAATTTTAAATGTGATTATACTTATGCTCCAAAGAAAACCCCAAAAATTCCTTCTGTTTGTAATCTTCTTTCTAAAATTGCTTGGAGTTCCAGATGGTAAGAACTGCTGAACTACTTCAGTTAAGAAAAATTACATTTCCTACTCAAAAAGGGAAAACAAATTTGTATTGCATTAGTGGGAGTGGATTTTCAAAAGCAAGAACATTGATCTGCATGCTCTGAAGCCTGTGGACAGCCCCGTGAGTCTGCTTGACCGTCCTGATGTGGATGTGGATGCAGATGTGTGTGTTTCACACACCTACATCACCCTGGACTCTGGGCAAGGACATTCATGCTAGAGTTTGCCTACCCGGCTCTCCTTGCTGGCATTGAATGTTCTCATGTGGGCTGTGAGAACATTGGGGTACAAACAAATTTTATGCCTTTCTGAACTGTCCCCAGTGAGCTGTTTTAGTCAATTTATCACTATTCCTGGATTTTGGACTTAATCCTCCACCCATTCCCCAGTGTGTTGTTTAAGGTTGGACTCTGAGTGTTGCCTGGCATCAGCATGTATTCCTCTGGTGCACACCTCAGAGACTGTCCTAAGAAAACACATCACTTGAATTTTACGATCGTGTTTCTTGTGTATATAACAGCAAGTCACAAGTGAGGTGGGGGTCAGGCAGCCGTCACAAGTACTCCGCATGCAGGGGGAGCTGCCAACTTGTTTAAATGAAGGTTCAAATGCCAGAAAGCAGTGAAGAAGGCTGACACTGTCAAACCGCCTCCCAGATGTTTGGCTTCTTACAGCACCACAGCCTATTCCCCTTTCACCAGAGACCTCTTGATCATCCCCTCTACCGATTCGCCCCAAGCAGTCCCTGCAGCTGCACTTCTGAATGCCCATAGGAATACATCGACTGCCTACACTTTTGTAAGTGATGGTATGGAAACAATTATGGGTTGAAGGAAGGACTGGTGGGGGAATCCTTGCAGTTCTTGTACAAATTTGCAGTGACCACTAAACTATCAAGCAGAAGTTCCCATGTTTTCATGGGCTGATTTTTTTCCATTTTTTTTTTAAATAAGTATTTAATTCATATTCAAATGTCACTTCTGATAAGTACATAGAAAAACTGGAAAAGTCATTTTGTCCTACAGCATTTATGTATTTAAAAATTCTGAAAGTTCTTGGTCCAAGAGGCATTGAGCGCAACCTCTGCGCTTCCTGGTGGCGCAGAAGGAGGTTCTTGCAGCTTCATTCAGGGCATGCTGAGTGCAAGGTTGAAACACGCAGGGCCGCAGAAGGTCCCAGCAATCCAGCTACCCATGGACTTTTCCTGTAGTTTAAGTGGGGATGCCTAGGTTATGCTACCCTGAACCTTCCAGAGAAGTCCTGAATTACTCTGGAAGTTATCTCCTGTGCCATAAATTGTTACAGCCCAGAAGCTCACATAGGGCAGCCGAGTGTGTTCAAAGCCCGTCTCACTGAATTCACACGTGGCAAGAATTTAAGAGTAACAGTTCCTCTAGTCACTTTCATAGAACAGAATCATAGAATCATAGAATCATAGAATGGTTTAGGTTAGAAAAGAATTTTAAGATCATCAAGCCCAACTGTTAACCTAACCCTGCTATCCCACCACTAAACTACCCTAAGCACCTCGTCTGCCCGTCTTTTAAATACCTGCAGGGATTTCCTCTCCTTACCCAAAAGCAGCCTGTCCTCTACCATCCCAAGGATCCCTGTTTTGAAGCAAGACTGCCCCTAGTAAAAGGTTTCTGGAGACTTCTGAAAAACCACTGAACAACCCAACGGTTGCAGAAGGTGTGTGCTCGTGGTACTGCCACGGCTGCAAGACTCTTGAGCTTAGGACTATTGCTGATTCTTTGCCTTTCTTCTAAGTAGCCCATGGGTGTATGGTCTTGCTATGACTGTTCTGCTCTTTCACTCCAGTGCCTTGACTACAGCAGCGGAGCCCTGACCGGCGACCTCTGTGAAGACCTGTGTGTGGCACAGAAACTGGTGTACAAACACTGCCTTTACTATGACAGAGGTAAGAAGGTCATCCAGGCTGACTGGAGAGGCCAGCCCATCATCCTGAAATCTAAAAAGGAAATCTTCTCCAGCTACCAGCATCTCAGTATGCTAGAGGAGGTGGAAACACAGGATATTCCTGAAACAGAGCTTCTGCTGATGGTAGCCTTGGAGGTCAAAAATGTCCTGGGGCTAGAACTGTCTAACAATAGCATGGGGCCCCTGTGGACAAGGAAGAAGGGACCACGCTGGAAAGCACAGGTGGCCAGCATGTGGTCCTTGCTCCAGCAGGAAGAATATATCTACTTCAGTTTGCTGCAGGACTTCAGCAAACACGTGCTACGAATTATTGGCTCTTGTGGACACTTTTATGCTGTGGAGTATCTCACAGCTGGACATGCCTGGCACAAAACTCTTTTTCCCCTGGAAAACGTGGTCAGTCCCTCCCTTGCTGGCCACAGGAGGGCCATCATTGACATTGCGCTCAGCTTTCTGGACATGGTGCAGCATTTTGATAACGATTTCTCTCACCGACTTCACCTGTGTGACATCAAACCAGAAAACTTCGCTATCAGACATGATCTCACGGTAAGTTGAGTCTTTGGGGTTGTGTTGCAGCACTTTGAAGTCGAATTCTAGTCTGACAGTGGCTGTGTAAAACTGACACTTCCCTCCTTGAACAGCTTTTTGTCAAGTTTTTGCAAAGCCAATGCATTTACAAGTGACAGGGGAGCTTCTTTACTGCTTTTCCTCTTTGTAGTATGTGCAGCCACATTGCAGAGCGCTAGGTCCTGCTGCTTGAGAACTGTTTGCTCAGTTCTGATTTGTCTCACCTCCTCAGAGGCACCGGCACTGACAGGGTCCCTTGGATGTGGTGAGGCAAGGAGGTCTCAAAAGCTGTAAATGAAGCTGTAATCTGAACCACAGCAACTACTTCTGGTAGTGATGCCGAAAAGAAAAACTGCTTGAATTTGAAAGCTAAGGCTGAATTCTCTGACCTGGCACAAGGGGAACTCCCCACATGCAAACACACACCTTTTTGTGCTTTAATGTTCAGCTGAGCTGGCCTGGAAACTATCCAAGGACAGAGAGATGAAACTCCCTGGTACTGCTACCCTTTGACTTCTCGTTGTACAGCCGTAACTCAGACCTGAATGGCTGTGCACGTTTTCTAAGTAGTGATGGAGCTCAGCACCACATTGCTGAATGTATCTTGTGGACAGGAATTTCGCTGGTTTGGGTGGGAGCTGTGCGTACGGATGGGAGGCACCGCGCAGTGAGTGAGTGTTTGAACCAGGCTCACCGTTTGCAGTGACATCAGTGGAGTTACTGCACGCTGAGCGAAGATAAAGCATTTTCGGGGGCTTGAATGCTATTTTCAGTACTCACCGAGTGTTACTATAACACTCACATCTTCAGAGCACTGGACAAACATTGCCTAAACATATAGCCATTAAGAGCAATTAGAGTGCTTCCCCTTTACCCTTCCCTTCCCTTCCGTTGTTTATTCAGGTGCAATACAGCAGCTGAACAGGGAACGGGTGAGGAGCTACAGCAAGAAACTAAAAGAAGCATAGCAGCATGTAGGCAAAGCGAGGTACGGCGGGGATTCCTCAAGATAGGCTTTGCGCATCTTTTTCACTTACAGAGGGCTGTGACTGCGTGTGGCTGAGCACACACCAGAGCATCTGTTTCACCACCTGCTTAGAGGAAAAGGGATTTCATTTAGGAAAAGAGAAAGGATATTGGATGTGTCTTCCCTTACGAGTCCTGTCGGTGAGGCTTGCTTCTCCAGGATCCTCCCGTGACTTATGGGGTCCAAAGCCACAGCAGTCACCTTCTGGTATAGGAAAGTACTCTAATTTAATATGTTCTAGGAAAATTAATTACTAAGCAAAAATTAAGCTGCTGCTCGCTCGTGGCTCTCCAGTTGTATGTTACTTGCAGCCTGTTGGTGTCACCTGTTTTCACCCCGCTGGGCTGGGAGACAGGAGATACACACTGGCAGAAAGCTGCAGGGGACGACGACAGAGAGAGATTTTGATGGGTGAAGAAGGAAGGAGAACGAGAAGCAGAAACTCCAGGTGGTTTTATAAACCCGTTCCAGAACAGGGACACAGCAAGGCAGCCTCTTTTTTTGTCCCTCATGTTTGTTTTAAGCAATTTTTTTCACTTGCTTGTTTCTTGGGCTCTGTATAAGATAATAATAAATGCCCATAATAGAATAGTACCAATATTCCTCATGCCAGTAACGAGACTGCTAATGCCCAAAGAAATGTGCCTGGAGTGCAATAGTTTTACTTTGAGGATTATTTTCAAATGGTGGGGGATAAGCTTCCAGCCCTCACTCCAGCCTTTGCATGTTGTTTCCGCAGCACGGCGGGGAGAGGTCACTGCCTGGTAGATCATCAGGGGAATTTTAAGCTGCCGTGGAGCTACGTAAAGGGCAGGGCTGGAAGGAGGTCTAGGTGAATATACAGTGCTCTGGGAGAGCTTCCTATTTTACCATCAGCTCAGAGAGCACTAGAAAGATTATAGCACCTTAAACGCGGCTTTAAACCAGGTTGGGAGCCAAGTTGGGTCCTTCCTGCATCTCCTTAGGTACCTTCATCATCAATGACAATCATAACAAACCCCACCAAAATGTAGCTGTTTATAGGTAGAGTGTCACCCAGATCTGTCTTCACAGGGTCTGGTTGGATGCCCACACATTTTTGTAACAGATGAACTTCAGGGCTTTTTTTCCTAGTGGAGCAAATGATCAGGTTGTCAAAGGTGCTCAGTGCCATCAGAGATCCCACCAGGGTGCCAATGCAGGGACCCTAGGACTGGGGAAACCCCGCACCGCTTTTACTGTCTCTTCTCCAAAGAAGTGAACAGCAAAACTGCAGAAAGCTTAAGGAAGTAAAGAAGAAAAGAAAAAAAAAAAAGGTGCCTGCCCAAACGTGTGAAATTCCTTAGGCTACGTCACCATTACCAAGCTCTCCAAGAAGCATAAATATACTTGAGTTTTTAAGCTATGCTTCATCTCTTTAAGATTTTCCCCGGGGAAAAAGAAGTAGAAGAAAATGATTAGACCTCATTCTTTCTACTGCCTGTGGAAGGTTTATTTGGCCTTCTACCAGGCCAGACATCTTTAGTTCCTGGGGTTGATCCAGCTGCTGCTCCAGCCACGCAGTTCAGCTTCCCCTGTTATTTGGGAGGTTGAATCTTAAAACCGAGGCTATCGTCTGAGCCCAAGTAACTCTGCTTTGCCCAGGTCCCGGACGTTTCCCCACAGGAATACGCGTGCCGGCCGCTGTGAGGGAGAGCCTCTGACCCTGGCTGTCACGTGTTAAAGCGCAGCCCCGAACGTACGCCGACGGCTGCATCCCTGGCGCTGACGGCCGGCTGCCTTCGCCGTGGTCACCCACAGTTTGTCTCACGTCAAGCAGCTGCCACCCCATTGCTGGCTTCCTCTCTTTTCCTGTTTATTGCTGTGATTTATTTTTTTTTTAAAGTGAAATATTCGTTGGTGGAGTGACGCTGGCAGAAGCGGAGGCTACAGCCCTTCACTCCCGGGGTGGTTTCACTCCCAGCACAGGCAGCAGCTCTGCAGGCCTCTTTGTGCTGCCTGGTCACTGCTTTGCAAGCCTGGCGTCAGGGCAAGAAAGCTGATTGACCCCTTCAGTCCTCAGTCCTTGCTTTTTCTGCTGAGCCCCGCTGCTGGCTGGATGCTGTTATGTTCCATACTTCTGGACAAGCAGAACAAGAGCCATGCACAATAAATGAGTCAAACCGCAGCAAACAGGACCGGGCAAAGCCCAGTCTTGACTTTCGTCAGCCTCAGGGATCTCTCTACGGCTGAGCAGACTCAAACCCACTGAATGCAACGGCAGGTTTGGAGGAGCTGTACCAGGTGGGGGTACTTCTGCACATCCCGCTGCTCCTCTCCACCACAATAAAGTCAGGGGTTTGGTCTGGATGGGGAATTGTGAAATGATACTGTCTGGCCTGTGGGTAATTTTGCGCCATCACGTTATTAAAGGGTTGAGTTGCCATCTGCATAAGGTGCCACAACGAGTAAATCAATCTCCAACTTGGATAGTCCTGGTTTAAGGCAGATCAATCCAGTTGACTCTGGGGACGCATATTGTCCACAAATAATTTTCCCCTTCCTAGTGTCGCAAGCATTGGCTGGTTTCATTTAAAAAGTGGTATTTATAACACTAGTGCAGCTCCATTAAGCAAAATAAAGCCCTTTCATCGTGATCCCAGTTCTCCACTGGCAGATGCTCTCAGCACAGCATTTCCAAAAGCAAGCAGCACAGAATGCTTGCCTTATCCCTGTCCTGCAGGCTGTACCGTGCCAGATCTGATGGCTTGTTTTGATCCACAGGTGGTGGCCATTGATGTGGATATGGCCTTTTTTGAACCCAAAATGAGGGACATCCTCGAACAGAACTGCACAGGAGATGAAGATTGTAATTTTTTTGATTGCTTTTCAAAATGCAATCTGAAAATCAGAAAATGTGGAGCACAGAGAGCCAATAACAACTTGCAAGTGAGTACACACAGCTGCTTTACGCATCCATTTCTTTTAAAATCACATTGCCTGTGAAATGCACGGTATGTACTCGGAGACTGTGAGACGAAGACAGTCAGGCTTTTAAACGTGGCCGCGTAAGTGCCAGTCCTGTTCAGAAATCCCATCTAGGGGCACACAGACAGATCTTTATACTCACTGGTGTTTATTTATATTTGCCCTGGTTTTGTGTAGCTGTTAGCCCAGTCCCTCAGACAGGAGAATGGAGGGAGTAGGGGCGGGGGATTAGCAGCTCTGTCTCCACTAATGGTAAAGTCGGGGCTGCCCA